TCCCTCAAGTACACCACGAACTCGGCATAGCTGTGCGCTAGTGCCCAGATGCTATAATCCGCGTCTGGGTACAAGGCAGCCCAGGAAATCTTCATACGGGCGTCATTGTCAGCGTCACTCTCAGCAACAAGGCGGTTTTGCTCCGCCTCCAGGGTTGCTGCAAAGTTCTTCTGAGCCTGAGCAGCCTCCTTCTCCAGCTTTTGAACCTTGGCCTTCAGTTTGGTGTTCTCTTCGGAAACACCTTTAAGTGTGCCAAGGTCCGTCTGGGCCTTCTTGAGCGCCTCCACAGCCTTCTTGGCGCTCTCATCCGCCTTCTTCTGGGCCTCCTCCACCGCGTTCTTAGCCGTCTCAGCATCTGACGCCTGCTGTTTGGCCGTCTCCAGATCCGCCTCCAGCTGCTGGATTCTAGACGCCTGTGTCATAATTATTGCTTTAGTTTCAAGTTCATTTACGATAGTCGAGTGTAAAGAAATATTATCAGCGTCTATGGCGGACTTCTTGGCCCTTTTTACCTCTTCCCGTTTGCGGGAATAAGGGCGTTTGAGCCCGTCCACCCGCAGCATGGCCTGCAAACAGTCAGACGGCATAAGTATGGCAGGCGGGATAAGACACTTGGAAAAAATAAAATTGAATTGACAAGTTTCTTACCTCAGCCAGAAGGGATAGAATGCGTTCAAGATTGAACGTCTCTATCCCAGGGATATTGTCCTTATCCCTCTTCCGGACGGCTTCCAGCATGGCCTTGGCATGCTTCTGGACGTCTGGCCAGCGGGGAGATTGATCTGCACCACAATCAATACGTGATGAGTGCGAAACTAAGGAAGCACCTATTTGTTGCCGACCGTCTGAGGATGACGCCTGTTGGGAGTGGCATTTCACCCGTAAAGGCCACCCCAGCTCAAGCGGGGATTCAAAAGGGTTCTTACCTTCAGAGCTGGCCAAGCGGGAACCGCTTGCAGGCGTGGTGAACCCCGCAGTTGCTGATAAGGGGTTGACAAGATCAAGGCACACGCTGCCGCCTACCTTCTCGAGTCGCCCCGATATCCGCATCGTCTTAGCCCCGGCTGAGGCGCCAAAAGTTGATGCAGAGGTGGATTTTTTTATCTTGTTGAGAACAACAGGGTTCTCCTCCCTAGCCCGTTTGAGTTGCTTCTCAAACGACTTTCCAACCTCTCCTCCCTGAAAAAATAACCAAAGTTAAGGATAGCATCCGGGAAAATGATTTTAAAGGATCAACGTATGAAAGGGTCAGGCGTTTGTTACCTTGGCCTTGAGCTCAACCGCAGCTTTCTCCGCAAGATCTTTGTGGATGGTTGCAGAAGACCGTTTAGGAGTTTTCTCCGACTGCAGAATTTTTAGAGCTTCTTCTGCAAAAAGAAAGAAATTGGTCAATATCATAAATCAATTTCGATAGAAAAATACTACAGATGGTATAAACTCAGGCGCATACGTTTTGTAAACATGTGCCCTAGCCCGCAGGCGGCTAGAAAACACTCATCCCTGAACCAGGCGCTCTTGGGGATCCAATTTTTGGGGACTTTTATTGTTTCCCCGGTTGACAGAGTTGCGTCTGTGAGGCCGAAAAAGTTTGCCTCAATTATTTTGTCAAAATCTTCCTCTGGGATCCTGGGAAGAGCGCACTTCCTGCCCAACAAGTCGGGCTTCTTATTGTACAGACGGAATTCATAATTTTCCCGTCTGGTTGGGGCTGACATCAGGTAGAACCTGTGCTTCCAGCCATCGAACTTCGAGACCTTGTTCAAGGTCATCATATATTGCGGCTGCGTGGTTAGAGTGTACCACGCCCTCCAGCCGCCTGGGCTTCTGCTAAGATAGTGCATGCTTGGAAAAGCCTCCCATCCGGGGTTAAGCCCCTGGAACTCGCAGGCGGCAACATACCCCAGAATGTTGGTTAAGCCCCTTGGGGTTAAGTTGCCAGACCCCAAGGCCGTAGCCTCTTAAAATTGCCTTCACTGCCTGGTGAAGGGGGAAGCGGAGTCTAGTTTTGAACGCCGCCTCATAACAGCCAAAATAACTGTTGGCGTTCTGTTTGTCGTCCCCCCAGGCGATGGTTCCATTCTCAGGCGGCACCCGGATCCTATACCCGTCTCCTAGCGGGTGCACTTTCGTAAAGTTCTTTAAGTTTTCTTCCATTTGGATCCGGTCCTTAGAAGAGACGTGGATGCTGAAGGGATCATCCTTTTTGCTCCACTTTTTCCTTTCTTCCTCCTCGCTATCAAGAAGCGGGGGTAAGTCATCACTGCTTTCAGAGGTAGAGGCGGAGTTGTCGCTCTCCGTCTCCTCCTCGCTTTGACCCAAGGGGGCAGAGACGGCCTCGTCGCCGCCTTGGTCACACTCTTCCAAGAAAGAGTCAGCAGGGGTTGAAGGGGCGCGTGGAGGGGATCTCTCCAGAGCCGTCTGGTCTCCCTGACCAGACGTTTCTCCCTCAGGCGTCTGGCCGCCTGAGCCTTCACTTTTGTAATTTGGATCCGTTGCCGTCTGCATTGTCCGAGCCATGGTGTCCTGCACAGACACATAACTGGTCGGAATCCAAGGCAAAGGGTGGTCCCAACACCCCAAGACGGCACTCCCAGTCCTAGACTCAGCCGTCCCTGGTGACTGTCTGTTGGTGATGCATCCATTTATTGCAAGAAATATGTACAAGCGGTAAAAAAAGAAAAGAGCTGAGAGAGACAGAGACGGTACCTTTAGATTTGATATCTGAAGGAAGGTGGGTCCGGCTGGGTCGTCGAAGAACAAACTTTCTTACTCGCGTCTGACTCAAACGGATGACTTCTTCTCTCTTAAAGTTTTAATCTCTAGGAAATTTTTGTAAACGTACAAAATTATGAGGGTAAAACGGCTATATATAGAGGGTAAATTTGAGGACATGTTTTGATCATTTATTACACATTTACTCTTTGATAGAGACATCCTGAGCTTGGAATCCGAGCAGATCCCTACCTAAATTTCCGCACCTTTTTCTCCCTTCAAGTTTCTAACTTGTGCGTCGGAGGCGGAGCACCACCCAACTGGTGTCTCCGTTTGTTTTGCAGGTACAACTCACCCCGGATCAGTCTTCGTGTTGTAACTCTCCCGAGGGACAAACACACCCAAAACACTAACCTTGTGTTAGTTGGGTACACGATGAAAATTTCCAATTTATGTCTCAGCTCAAGAACAAATAAACAAAATATGTGGCAATTGGCTTCATGGAAAATTAATACTCCCTTCGTTTTTAAATACTTGCTCCATTTCTCCATGCACGGAGTTTTAGGAGAAATTGGAGAAAGTAATAAAATATGGAGGTAGTGGGGTAGGTGAAAGAATAAAAAAATTGTAAAAAACAAAAGTAGTGGAGAAAATTGGAAGAGAGAGAATATGAAATTAATAAAATATGATTTATGTTGGGTCCAGCCGGTCCACTAGGTGAGAGAAATGAATCAAATATAGTAAAAACATTCCAAATAAGGAATGAAGTATTTAAAAACGGCCAAAAAAAGAAAGTGGAGCAAGTATTTAAAAACGGAGTGAGTATTATCTTGCACAAATTTCTTTAACTATACGATCTAGCGGTGTCAATTTTGGTTCAATTTCGGGTTGGGTTTATCGGTTTCGGGTTATAACAGGTTGAAATTATTAACGGGTTGGTTTTGAGTCGGTTTAGAAAATTACCGGGTCAGTCCGGTTTGGGTTTTTTTTTTAAATTTTTTTTTATATTGCGGTTTCTATTCGGGTTGGGTCCTAATCGGGTCAAGTTATAATCGATTCGGGTGATAATCAGTTGGGTTGAACCGGATCAGTTTGAAAACGGGTTTAGTCAATTAAAAACGGATTTTGGTTCAAAATAGTATGAGTCCTAACCGGGTCAAGTTGTAATCGGTTCGGGTTATAATCAGTTTAAGTTAAATTGGGTCGGTTTGAAATAGGTTTCGGTTCAAAAAAAATCGGTTGAAACCGGGTCGTTCATTATTGGTTCGGGTCATAATCGGTTTGAATTAAACGCGGTCGGTTTGAAAATAGATTTATCCAATTTGAAGCAAGTTTCAGTTCAAATCATATCGGGTTAACATCGATTCGGATCATTGTAGACTTAGGTTAATCATATAATGGGTAGGAATGGGTCACGATAATCGAGTTAAGTCTTAAATATGTTGGCTTTATTGAGTAGTAGGTTGAAATAGATCAGATCATAAATATATTGGGTTACGGGTTGTAAACGGCTTAGTCATAATGGATTACGGGTTGTAAATGATTTGGTCTCAACGGGTTACGGGTTGTAAACGGTTCAATCTCAACGGCTTACGGGTTGAAAACGGTTCAGTCATAACGAGTTACAGGTTATAAACGGTTCAGTTACAACGGGTTTCAGGCTAGAACGGTTAGGTTTATTGAATTTTAGTCGGGTATAAACAGTTTTCGGTTTAAAATGGGTCGGGTTATTATCGGGTTCTGATGTAATCGGTTCGAGTTGCTTTTGGTTTCGGGTTGTAATGGTTTGGTTTGATAACGGGTCGGGTCATTAATGGTTTGCACAAATTCGGTTCAATTTTAGTTTCAGGTTGGAAAAAATTGAGTCGGGTCGGTTTTCGGTTTTCACAAAATGGGTTTTTAGCGGTTCCGTTTCTTTTTAGCTTAGTTCAAAATAGCTGGGTTTAACGCTGATAGCTCTAATATAGATTTCAATGTAAATAATTAGTGGGTTTCAGTGTAAACAATTCAGTGTAAATAATTCAGTGTAAACTGCTATGTTCCTAGATGACCTTCCTCATCTAGTTGTTATATAATGTTTCTTCGTTTTGTTTAAAAAAAATTAGTGGATATGGACCCGCTAAATAATCAATCATGACCCACTATAATTTGGAGATCTCTTAGGTAGCAAATCAAATACTAATTAGATTTTGTAGTGTTCAACGGGAAATATGATGTCATTGAAAATAAATAAATAAGTGTTTAATTTGATGTTTCATTCATCAATATAATACGAAGTATAACATGAATTGTATTGGCTTCCAGCTAGTGAGTCATACATTATCTAGGGTCTTTGTTTTTAATAACCCTCACATATTTAACGTCGTTGATAACTTAAAAAAGAAATTAAAAATTAAAGTTAAAAATAAAAATAAAAATAAAGGATGCAACTAAATAAGTACAATTACTTGGTATTAAATTTCAAGCTTGGATCTAATTTAAGACTTTACAAGTAGCATAGAATATAGACCTCAAAATCTAAAGCATATAACGCAACTTTTTTTTCAACATAAATACATTCATCAATCTAGCTACTTCGTGTCATATAAGGTTTAATTCAAGGAGTTAAAGGGTAAATGATATCAATTCAAGCCTAGCTAATAAATTCCAATCAAACAAAGGCTAAACAATAACCTACATGAACATGACCAAAAAGCTCTTACATTAAAGTATTGCAACTAAAAGTGAACGGGTTAACATGCATTAAAGCTTAAGAGACAAGTCAAGCTTATGCAAATGATCATGATCTTGTTTAAGACTAGTCTTAAGAACATTGACAGTTTCCTTCCAACAAAGGCCTCCTCCAATATTATTATTTCTATCCAATGGCTGAGAATTCTTGTGATGATGAACACTATCAAAGCGTGCAACACCATGGCCAGGCCCGGCGTTATGACTTGAAGAAGATGATGAGGCCATTGCAAGACGCCTAATCGCTGGTTGCTGATCAATCATAGGAACCCTTGATCCATAAGATGGTTTATGTATCAACGAGTGAGCTTGTATTCCTAGAGGTCTATTAAGATTATGATTGTTGTTGTTGTGTTTATTATAATATAAGCCATAAAGAGGAAGGGCTGAAATATTGCTAGGGTATGATGATGTTAGTGGTCTGTTGCTCTTGTAGAAATGTTGAGGCAGATGATAATTACCGCGTGTTGTCGAAGTAGTCATCATCCGTTGGCCGCGTTTCGCTAGCGTTCTCTCTCTTTTGTGTGCATTTTGATGGCCTCCAAGTGCTTGGGAGCTGTAGAATTTCCTTTGGCAATAGTTGCATGAGAAAGTCCTTGCTTCTCCCACCAATCTCTCAACGTTTGAAATTGGATTTTTATCCTTGTTGAAACCACCGATAAGATCGAGTTTTGGATCATAGTCGTCTTGCTCTTCAAAATCATTGCTGCATAAGCTAAGATCCAAGTTAAAAATAGGATGGTTTTCATTTTTTGCTTTTGTTGAAATTATTTGAGCTTCTTCTTCTTCTTCTTCTTCTTCTTCTATGGAGCATGATGGAGACTGATCATCTGAAATTGGCATGGAGTTTGAAGGTTTAAACAAAGTGCGAGGTTTTTGTTCATTATTATTTGGTACCTCCATCCTTTTCAATATAATTTATTTATTTGCAGCTTATTGGTGTTTATTTGTAAGCTAATTAAGGCTAGTAAATGCTTTTGAGTGATTTAAGTGAAGTATTTGAAATTGGAATATAAGTTACAAACCTAAGGCTAATTACTAGCAAGACTTATGTAATTTAATTGAGAGTGAGAGAATGATGGATGTAGATAGGTAGAAAGGATAAATGGAGAAAGGATCGTCTAAAATTTTGTAAGTGGTTTCATATATAGCTTTAATTTTGATCGAAACATATTACTATCATTATGTTCTTTTCAAGGGACTTGATCACGGGGTGAAGACTTTGTGACCACAGTGGCCAGTGGACATAGGTTTATAAAACACTCATTATTAATTCTATGCATGTAGTACTTTTTTTTTTAAAAAAAAAAAATCTGTTTTTTTTTTTTTTTTTTTTATTCAAATACTTATGGTTGTTAGATTTTATACAGATGGCTAATCTCAATTATAAATTACAAGTATCCATGTCTTAACCTTGAGTGTGCGACACAAACATAATGCTTAGCTTATATGTAATCTGCATAATTTACTTATTTGGTATACATGACATATATATCCTCCTTGTCAGAATACAAAACTTTTTCTAAGTCATAAAATGACCCCACCAAATAATTAGGGGGCGTTTGGTTGGGGGGTTTCAAGAAAGGGAATGAGAATGAATCTGGTGTCGTTTGTTTATCAATTTTTGTTTTGCTTGTATTAATCAAATAATGTGCAAAATGATACTTCGTAATTTAAGATCGCTTAATACACACTCGATCATCTTTTCAAGCCTCAATTTCTTGTAGTAGAACTTAACTATAACTACTTAGCTAGACAGTAGCCATGAACTGAAGGTTTTTATTTTTACTCCGTATATTTAATTCTTTTTTTAATTCTCCATATATATTTTATGAAAAGGAAAATATAGTGTATGTTATTTTTATTTTTATTTTTTTTTTGACGGGAAATATAGTGTATGTTTATTGAATATAACCTTGGGAAGGAAAGGTGTGGATTAAAATTTAGAAGTGGCAAAAACGGTGAATGATAGATGAGACAATCATTTGGAAAAACTAAAATAATGTCCCTTTTATCAAATAAATAGCCACCCCCCTCACATCATATATAATGACATCGGAGGCCTCTTAATACGAGTAATATATGATTTCTATCCCTGTGGACTAGAAAGGACAGGAATGATGAAAAAAAATATATTTTAATTATTTTTATATAAAATTTATCAAATAAAAAAGCCTACCAAAAAACGTTTTTTTCGTATAAAAATAAGTGTGCCCAAATTAGGTACTATATGATTTTATGCATGATTCATTTGGTTGATGTGGCCGGGTACGTATATGTATTTCTATACTGTAAAGAGTGAGAAAACGAGGTTGATTATTCATTGAATTGAAGGGAGCATGCAACCTACTGCCTACTTATGAAAGTACCCCGCACGTACTTGAGTTTGTTGCTACTTTGAAGGTTTTAAGGTAATCAATATCAAGCATTTTCAGGATATATGAGATCCACTGGCCTGTTAGTGAGTGAGGCCCTATATCTATAGTGCTTCTTATCCAAGTTTTTTTAAGAAGAAGAAGAAATGAGATTGGGAATATACTTGTGAGTTGTGACAAACTAAAGGTTGTCAAGTGAAACATTGTGTTTACAGCAAAAGATACATTATTAATTCCTACGATTATTTATCTTCATTATCAATCACAAGTTCACGACTCCTATTCATAGCTTCGATCTTATTACGTCTAAACATACTCAAATATGACTATCTAATATGAGCAAAACGTTCTTAATTATAGAGACTATCAAATGAAGAGAACAATCCAAAAAATATGAAATAAATAAATAAATTTATGGGTCCATCATCAAATTACATTATTGATGGCGGCCCCAAAGTATAATTTAATAGCAAGACCAAGTTGCATTGATAGAGATTTAGGAGGCTGAAAAGAATAATTATTATTTAAGAAATAGGAATCTCTTATTACATCTTGCACTATAGCATGTATTATGATCAATTGTATACATTAACAACTGTTTGGCTTCAAATAAAAAATAGCAACTCTGATATATTAAGAAGCACTATATGTCTATATGGATAATTTATAAAAATTATTTAAAACTTAAAACTCATGCTCATACAAATTAAATTGTATCATTCAAATCCATTGTAAATCCACTTGTGAGTGTCACACATTAGAGAAGGAGGAGAGATGGTTCCACTTTAAAAGGTAGATGAGTTACTCTTACTAGGCTACTATCATTGGTTTTAGTATAGAATCTCCTTGGCTTTGTTTGTGGACCAAACTCTTCTTCTCTTTGTTCAGGTTGCCAGATCCATTTCGTAATATCTCAAAATTTAACATGTATTAATAATAATAATAATAATAATAATATAATAATAAACCTACAAAGTCAATTAATTTACAAGAAATTGGTGGAAGCCGATCGAGATACAAAGAGAAGACATCATCCTTCTCAGCTAATTCCCCCAACGAAGAAAAGGAGAAAGGAAGAAAACCATAGCCAATAGCCCTGCAACGCGCCCCATACTTGTCCCGCTTCCGCCGAGCCGCCGTAGACACAACACGACCAGGAACGAAGTAAGACAACACATACATCAAGGTCTCTATCCCAGGAATAAAGCAACACATCTGCTGGACGAAGAGCCCTGTCGTTTCCTCTACTCAACCCAACGTTAATCTCCTTTCGAGCAGAAATCCCAGACCGAAAACAAATATCAACAAGGGTGTCACGAACAACGTTGTGCCGATTATTAATACCCACCACCCCAGCACAAGACACTATATGATCCCCATAAATATCCCCATCAAAAACCCTTGAGCAAGCAGAACACGATGTTGAAATAGAGAACAAAGGAACACCCAACCTGTAGCAAAGAACACTACGGTAAGTCTTACCATTTATAGTCTAACCCAAACCCGATATCGAGACCGTCCGCAACCAGGCCGAAGAGTGATCCCCCTGCTGGGACTTCCATAAGGCAACCTGACGCCTTATTATTATTATTATTATTATTATTATTATTATTATTATATATCAAAAACAAATACAGTCAGACCTATAAAAAATTAGTGGGAAGCCGAGATACAATTCGGGCCCCCACTCCTCTAGTTATAGAAAAACCTATCCTAGTAAAAAAAATATGAGCAGCAGCACGAGCCCTGATGTCCCGAGTCAATAAGAACTTCTGAATCCGCTTCATCAACGCAACAACCTCCTTGTCTAATTCCCAAGCGAAGAAAATGATGAGAAGGGAAGGAATCTATATCCAATTGTTTTTCTTTGTAAATTGACATCATAATAATAACGTATGTACACTTTCTTTTTGTACCTCGTATATGATATGGACCACCGTTTTGTGGATAGAAAAATAATTGAGTTGTGATGAGTGAGGTATCCAATGTGATAAACTCTTTTATAAATGAATGGCGTCAATAAATTGTCTCAAATATATATGTAGGTATATATGTTATATTATATAGCGTTAATTGTGTGTAGTTTGACTAAAGAATAAAAAGAATAATCAAGCAAATTTCCAATCAAAATAAAAAAAATATAAAAAAAAATAAATAAATAAAAATAAATAAAAAAATTGACAAACGTGTAGTAAGTCTTAGTCCAGTAAAGCAGGCCAATTCTTTACATTTATAATACTGTTTTTACAAATCAAATTTAATTTAAAATAGAGCAAGTGAAAAATATTTTTATACAGTATATAAAGTTGAAAAATTAAAAGTAAGTGTATGTCACTTTATAAAAATGGTAGGTAAGCTTCCACTTTTGAAAAGACGAGGAACATGAAGCTTAGCTTGCCTCTTCCTATCTTGGATCGCATGCATGCATGTTTGCAAGAAATTGACTTATCTTACTTTGGTGTCTGCCTGTATGCACATATATTATATATGCATGCATGTGTATGGTTAATATATCTTCTTAAAAGCTTATTATGGTCGAAATGATAGTTATAGCTAGTTAATAAGTAGGTTGTGTCACCTACAACTTTACTAGCTTATAGCTTTTTTTTAAAAAAAAAATCTCATCATGTACTGTCTCTGTTTCATAGATATATATTTTTTACTTTATTATGTTTGATTCAGTGGAAATGATTGAATTTAAGAAAGAAAAGTGGTAAGAAATTTGAATTTATTTTTGTGAGTAAAGTGGTGATCGTTTGTATAAATACATCTGTGTTGTAAGTATTCTTTAAGGGACAATTTAAACAGGGATATAGAATTAAAATAGGAACCGAGGCCATGAAGATCCATGCATGTGTGATGTGTGGTGGGCAAATTGGCTGGCAAATAGATGGTGAAATTGGCCCTTCTTCCGCTGCTATGTTGGAATATGGCTCGAGAATCAATCGAGGCTTGACATATAAGCTAAGAGAATGAATTACTTGTACTACTATTAAGCAAGAAAGCTTTGCATAGGTCAATATCAACTGGGCATATCTCTCAAACTACTTGAAGTACTGAGATGATTCAAGTTGGAAGTGAAAGCTTGTTTCAAGAGCTTTCCAACAATAGGCCATAAGCTTAATTCCGTTGTGAAACGAGGAAGTTATAATTGTTTTACTACGAGCTATTTGTGTTGACCCAAACAGAGGATGCACGACCGTACAGTTGCAGTTCCAGACGAGCAATAGCTATTGGAATGATTTATCTAGGCTAGCACGTTCGTGCCATATTTGGCACGCCTGTGCCTACCTGATACCCTGTCCAAATCTGGCAAGGGTATAAATACCCATTGAGGGTTATTTTGTTTATTATCCCCAAAATTTAGTGAAACAACACATTTAGAGCTAGAGTTCTTGTTCTTGAAACCCTTGTGCTTTAGAGTGGAAATTAGTGAGAGAGTACTCTACTAAACACTAATTAAAATCAATACAAACATTCTCCTTGTTCTTGGGTGGGTTTTATAGTATTCAAGTAATTGCTTGAAGGATTTTCCCACCTTCCAATTTCTTGGCTCTTTTACTTATATTTCAGTCATCCTATATGCATTGTAAACGTACAACAACTATACATTGAGATGCACTGTAATATATACGAAGTACTACTCTTATATGATATGATGTCCTCTGATATATCATCAACTTTGAACATGATGACTCACCAATATTATACAAAGAGAGAGAGACCTCGATGTGATAGATGGAGTTCTACTTCTGACTTAACCAAATTAAAGTTAGGGAACAAATTAATTAAATCACTGTTTGCTTTGCATGATTGGGGTAAGGAATATAACGTGCACTTATTATTCACTTCTCAACTGGCCTGGAGTACTTCAAACTAAAGAAAACTTTTCATGTCTCCTGCCATCATATGATCACACAGACATAGATAAGATAAGTACAATAAGGTTTCTTCATCTGTTACTCCGTACAATTTTGTTACTCTCTTCGTTTTAAAATAAATAAATAACTAAAATTAAATCAACACTTGTTATGAATTAGTTTGACCATTATGCTTACTAGTAAAAAAATGTTGATCTTATGAAGTGTACATTAATACTTATTAACAATATTTTAGACAATGACATTAGAATTTTATAATATAATAAAAGAAACTATAATCAAAGTTATATAATATAAATGGTTAGCTTCTGTCAATTATCTAATGACAGTGTAAAATGTTTACATTGCACATTTGATAATGAAAATTAACGCTTACTACTGAAAGGTTCTCGTACTTGGTGAACAACATGCATAATATCATATATAGTTACTCATGATCCTTAAGGCGACTTTCCAAGATTTCACTGTCTATATTTCATAAATCACAATCATAGTCTTTGATAACTAGCTAAATTGGGAGAGTTGTGTCAAATTCTACTCCACACATGCTGCTAGAGAAATCGAGCACTAGATACCTTTACCAATCTTAGATGGATTTTCTTGTTTCATTGTCCATTTAGTATTAATTTCACCACATTTTTTTGTTTAAAAGTGGTTCACATAATAGTATTGCTTACTATTAAGTTCGAGTTCGATCATATAATATACCCTAGTAAGAAAAAAAAAAAAAAAACCGACGTATATGTAGTTCTTTACATGGTTTTCTTTCGAACAAACAAGTAGAACTTTACAAGTATTTCAGTATTCAGATTAGAATGATGGGATGATCCCATTCCCAGGACACCTGTTGGAATCCCTCGGATCTTCATGGAAAAAAATTTATCCACAACATTTCCATGCAACCTTAACGCAAACAAAAACCAAAAGGTGAACAACTTCCAACAAAAACACACACAAAGAAATAAGCCCAAAAGAAAACAAAGAACCAACGGCAACTAATTGAAATTTGGTTCCAAAAGACCATTGCTTTCTTCTCGAGTTTGTTCCAGCACTACTAGATCGAGGAGCAACCTGGATCCTTGCATATCACTCACGCTTTGTTTGGATAGCAAAGAAGGAAGGAAAAGAAGGGGAGGGAAAATGAAGGAAGGGAAGGGAAAAGAAAGGGAGGGGGAGGTGAGCTCCATTTTCCCTCCAAATCTCTCCAATTTTGGAGAGATTATGGTTATTAAATAGAGAGGGAAAATGAATCCCTCCCTCTCCTTCCCCTTCCTTCCCCCAATCTTTTACCCAAACAAGAGATTTTGTCCCCCTTCATTTCTCTTCTCTTCTTTTCCTCCCATTTCTTCCTATCCAAACAAAGTGTCAATCAAACAAAAATATATCATCATAAAATGGCAAACTTAGTGGGATGGGACCATATGGCATATTCTATCCTGATATTTCATCATTTCTGTGGTTCAGGAAAATTCTATCTTACAAGCATATTACACCAAATCAGCTGCTGTTAAAATAAACGTACACGAGTTTTTAATCTCATTGTAATTAACTGCCTAAGCATATCTCGTCAAAAATTACACATGCACAAGTATATAGCTATTGACCTTTCAACGTAAGGAAGAATAGAACGACCTTTTGACTTGCAAGGTTCCTTAATTATGTATGCAGTTGGTTACCCATAGCATACACAAATTATACAGTATTAAGAAAAGGTACAATTCTATACCAACACAAGTTCACACAACTTACTATACTGACTTTACATGAAAGGAAACAACAAATGACCCCAACATATGCTGTTATCAATCTCATTAACTTCATTCTTGGTCCTCATGGCATGCATTTTTGCTTTTCCTGTCCCCACAATTCGCAGATGCTAGCTAAGTGGAAGATAAAGAGGATCTTCCATGGGATAAAGCAAGAAATTGTGAACAGTAGCTCCAGATGACAAAGCAGGAAGAAATCCCCCGAGTCTCCACAAAGAATATTCAATCATGTTGCCCTACTTGGTCAGCCAGTATATGAATATGAGGAATGTGCATACAGATGCGACTAGTGACAGTATAATAGTGTCCATCGACCTTTTCCTCTTTATAGAGGCAAGAATTTGATTCACCTACAGCATTGTCACAAATCATAATACAACACATGAGAATGGAGCTAGCTATCAATTAGAGGGATTCAGGGCCCTAAACGGACCCACTACAGTATAACCAATTATGGTGTTTCTTATTGCTATTCTTATGGTCCATTGGTCCAATTCATGTCTAATATTTATGAACCAAGCCTCCATTGTATCAATATCTACCAATATTATGCAAATTTGACATATTAGGGTTACTCTCACTGCACATTGGATTTCATATGATCATAATGTCATGATTTACCAATTGGTTGTTGGTGTAGTGGTGATTGGGACTACACTTGGTAGGGAGGACCCGTGTTCGATCCCCCGCAACAACAATCGGGAGGGGATTGGAACCTAACCACCCAGAACTGATCCCCGAATCCGGATTAGCCCAAAGGGTGAACCGGATGGAACACCAAAAAAAAATAATAATGTCATGATTTGATATAAAAATAAGAGTAGGTTACCATTGATAATAACTTTTTCTGTCGTTACTAAATCCAGTGTCCAATAACATAGGGATACCAATGAGAATTTCCCCAACATATTATCATCCTATTCTCCAACCTCAATTTAGCTTTTGATGCTAGCATAACAATATCACAACATACATCTACATGACTCCATATATTTGAATACTTGAGTAATCTGACAGTTTGCAAGAACGTTATCAAATTACATACCGTTGGAAGACGGCTGCTAACATTACTGATCTTTGAATTGATGCCCCCAAAAGTTGAACGCTGGAGTACTAGTGTGCCAAGGGTAGATTGTGCTTGAGAAATAACAGAATCCATCTGCAAATCAGTGGAATGATTACCAGCGGTATCAAATCAATGAAGCACAGAGGGAAGAGATTTTACCAAAATGAATAGTGGTTCAAAAATTTAAAATACCCAATATTCTAAACTTCTTGGAGCAAGTTCAACCTGTCCATTGTAGGCTGAAAAGTACGCTTTTCCTAAGGTTGCTGGTTTGAATAGTGATGTGCTTAGGACCTTCCTTTTCATCTCACTATCCTCAAGTCAGACAATAATAACTATAACTATGCCATTTTAGACTGTTCCTGCTCTACACAAGATATTCTCAGGCATATATCAATTGAGATAAATTTGAGAGCTCATTTTATAAAGTATTTATTTGATTAATTTGGGCATAACCTGTGAAGAAGTAGAGCAAACAATCGACAATTTCCTTATGGCAGTTTAATGTACGAGGGTGGTGAAACTAAAAGCTCTTCCTGATTAATTTGGGTACAAGATTGAACATTTAAGGACATCTTGTTATCCTACCCCTGGAAAATGTAGCTACATTTGCAAATAAAGATAAAACTTGCATTGAGACAAACTGAATTAAATTAGAGCATAATTGTCAATGAAACAACATTTTAACTACTCGTACATCACAAAGTACAAACATTCCACTAATTCTAATAAATATAGTAATGGGTGACGTGGGCCATTCCTAATTTTGACCATATTGTAATGAAGCATAACAGCTCAGCAAAAAAGTCAATAAAACACTGAATTTCCTACTAGAAGCTTGACCATCAAAGGCTAGTTAAACTTCTAATCCAAATAGATCCCAATCTGAATACATGGCTAATAACCCTTAGATACCAAATGACAAGTCATCTCACCTCCCCTGCCCCCACTACCCACCAAGGCCCCAGGTAGATATATAGTCCAAAACTTATTGGAAAGTATATGCACCACTACACTCTTCATCAAAAATTCATGGCTAAAATGCCAAATTGTTGTCTCTTCAATGGAGTGAGACTTACAACCTTTTTTTATATATAATATTTTTATTTTCTGGAAAAGGCTAATTCATCATCACACATATCACTTAGCCAAGGCCCAAAGGCAAACAAAAACATCATACTGTCAACATATTGCAATTCCATAGAGTATTAGAAACAGTCCTGGCTAATATTTTTCAACCTAAATCTTGCTATGACAACAACAAGATGCTGCCTCCAACGTTGGCCAGTACTATCCAGTATTCACCAATCACATTGACCATAAACATCTTATCAACCAACCAATCAAAGCCTAAATCCCATAAGTGGGGTTGGCTACATGAACCAAAAGTGATTATTCCGTATAGTCATCCACAAAAATCCCCATTCCTTACAATCAAATACCCCATTGGCTCATTCACATGCAAATCTATTTGCTTCATATCCTTCCTAGCTCCTTCCAACCAAGACACCAAGTCATTTTCAGTCTCCCTCTACCTCATAAATATCTTATAATTTTCTAAAATATTGTAACCATGGTATTAAATCTTGGCCGCATCACTACATCACAATTGCATTGTAAGGGAATTTGAGCTTACCCCGACCGATATATTAGGCCGCAACAGCAGCATTCTACCCGCGTTGCTCGCAATTGCAACCGCATCCAAGATTTAAAATCATGGTTGTAATTCTTATTTTACACTATAAAATTTTAAAAGAAACATCAAACATTGTCAATAATATCAATTGACTCCCTCAAGTCCCTCTGTATTAAAAAAATATCCTTCCAATTTCATATAGTTCATTTTAATTGTCCTGCATACCGTTTTCTCTCTATACATTGTAAAAAATTTCTAATTTATTATATTTCTAATTTTGTTTTCTGCTTTTCTAACTCTTTCCAAATCGACTAGGACAAACATTGTGAAATGAAGGTAGTAAACATATTAGTATCTACTTATTGCCATTATCTTCTTGATAACTTTCCAAATAAAAATAAAAGAGAACTTGCTCTTGTCGAAAGTTCTAGTACAAAATTTTATATTTGCATAATACATTCCTTACAGAGTGTGAACTTTTAACATGAATTCAAACCAAGCTTGCAAACTTTCAGTCGAAGTTATGTAGAATAAAAAATAAAGATATGAAGTTGGAGGAGCATGTAATTATGGAGACATGAGCAATGTTAACTTATAAGAACCGGTATATTAATCAATTCTCAAAAAAGGAACATACAGTATGAGGTACCATCGACAATCCAACCAAAATTAGCTAGAAGGATATAATGGGCACCTTTTAGAACAATTACAACATTAGGTTGAGAATACACTGAAATACTGAGCTTTAAATTATAATATGCTCTTATATGGTTGAAAATGACAGCAATCACTAACAATGGAAAATCATAAATGTATAGGAGATAAGCAAAGTAACATATCAGATAGCAACTCCCACAAGGCTAACCCAAGTAAGCCTCTTATCTTCTCTCTTATCCCTTATTCCCCATTCTCAACCAAGGACGGTAAGGTTTTGGCTCAGCGAGAGCGAGGGGGTGGTGGGAGGGGGAGTGGGGAGGGAATTATACATGTGAATTCTTCTTTTTTGTTCTTCTACAGAGGGAAATTTTGCCTCATAAACAATAATTAAAGGTCCACGAACCATGAGGGATTGAGGGGCCCATCAAACTCGAAACTTTCTCTCCTCCTACAACACCTTTAACCAATTAATCTGCCTCATTGTTCCTTCCAAATGAAATAGCTCCAAATATGTAGACTCATATGACCAAGATATACTCCTCTTCCTCAAAGAAGAAGCAATTTTTTGCCATTATAAACATATGTAATCTGCTTGAATATAGTCAAACTTCGATATTACAAATTTTGAGATTAATCGAGGAGGAACCCATGTGGTTTTTGATGTCAAAGTAAACAGCCAGAAAAAGACACATGATATAACACTATAACTCCATTCCATTTGGCTAATGGGTGAGAAAACTAAGAGAAGACAAGTCTTAAACTAACATTTAGCTTAAGACTTGTCATATGTTATCATTTATACCTTTCTAATAAAGAAAACATCTAACATACTTCTTATCATCATATGTTATCATTTATACCTTTCTAATATGGAACTCCAAACAAGGCATAGCTGTTGCATCTCTTGACAAGGCCGACTGAAAGTTGTTTAATAGTTGGCATTTTGTGCTTCTAATAGGTTTTTAATAGTTGCCTTTTTGTTTCTTTTTGTCCAAGTAGCTTCTATAGCCGTAGATATCTTTGCTTGATCAGAATATTACTACAATTTTTATTTTCACCTAAAACTATTGTTTATTGTTTTCATTCTTTGCACTTCTAGTGTTGGTTTTGCTTGAGATCTGTTTAAAATTTAATATTTATAAGGCCATACTGGCAACAACTGACATTCGCTGACAATGACAGTGATATATAAATATGTTTTAGATCAAATTCTATAGGACTTCTGTAATACCCCGTATTTTTTAAGTCGTTTAATAATTATTAAATATGGATTTTCCGATATATTTTATCATACAAAATATTTATATGATAATTTTATATCTATATTTTATGATGATTTTAATTATACGAGCCAAGTCAAAAATTTGTCGTACCCAAATCAAATTCTCAACCGTTAATAAATTGTACCCGATTCAAACGACAAAGTACAAAATTCGCTATTTATATACGAGTTCAACTCATATGTGTAGTACGCTAGTACTACACAAAAATATCTACTTCAAAATATATATATAAATATATATATAAAAAAAAAAAAATTGATGTCGGCAAGAGGGGGGAAAAAACCCACCCACTTGCATGCCCACTTGCCTCCTACAATTAAGAATATGGATGGCATAGTATCAAGTCACTTCTATAAGTAGCCATGACTACCTCACTCCATTTCATCCTCCAAGCTCCCCTTCATACTCCTCTCTACTACTTCCTCTTCTTACTTTCTTCCTCCTACTAGCTTCTTCCTCCTCCATACTCACCTCCTTTTTAGCCTTCATCCGTGGTCTTGGGCTCCTCACGAGCACCCACCTCGGTGCCACCAAACTGCCGCCACTCGACCACCGTCGTGCCGCCACCTCCTTCCTTGTTGTTGTTGACCGTAAGTCCCAATCTATTGCCATACTTCTTGAACTTCTATTATACACTACTATGTCTTACTATTACTACTACTCACGTATTACTACTACTTATTTTGTCACTACTATAATCAATGATAACCATCAACATTCACTACTACTACTACTCTTATTCCACGTACTACTAAAACTACCTTTCCATTTATTATTATTATTATTATTATTATTATTATTATTATTATTATTATTATTATTATTATTATTGATGTTAGTATTTTAGTTGTTGCTGCTGAGTTGCTACTACTACAATTACTACTATCATACTACTACTTACCTACGTATCACTACTACTACTCTTATTATTATTAATAGCATAATTATTATTATTATTATTATTATTATTACGGATAGTTAAAGATTATTTTATAAATACAAGTGTTAATAAATTGGTCATGCACAACAAGTCAAAGTCGGTATTTTAAGTCTTCGTGTCTATAGGTTGAAAAGTATTTGATTAGGATTATTGGTTTGTAATAGGAGGAATTTCGAGTTCGAAATTAGGAGCTCCGTAACTGTGTGCAAAAATTGAGGTACGTAAACGTGGCTAGATCTTTTATAAAGTGGCTTTTATATGCAACGTGATTTACATGTTAAGTGATTTCGAACCATGTTTAAATGATTGTGAAATATCTTTTGGTGAAGCATGTTTAATCGTTTAATCTCAAAATATTTGAATATTTTATATGGTTGATTATAAACTTGTATTGATATTCAAGAAGGAAGTTTTATTGTTTAAATTATCCCGAGTATGAGATATTGAAAAGTTTATTCATCAGGATTTATTCCTTGAATCTTTGGATTTTTAACTCCCACTATGCGGAGTAAGTTGAAGACTATGGACTTTGTATGACCTAGTCTTTCCCCTTGATAGCACTATGTAAAGGAGTTACTAGCTTGGGGGGTGTGCACACTTAGGTGGTAAAATGATTTACGAAAATATGGACTGATCCATCCTATTCGGAATTATCTTTGGAAAGTTGGTTATTTCGGAAATTGGTTCTTCTGACAAGTTTTTATACATGAATTTCTATTCAGGAATGGTTTGGATAAATTATGATTTATTAAAGTTAAATTTCTTCGAAAGCATGTTTAATTAAATTAAATTGATTTTACATGTCTAGCATTTGTATGTACTTAGCATTTGTATGTACTTAGCATTTTGGCTAATACGTATTTGTTTTGTTTTGGCTTGGCCCTACTTATCATTTTGATAAGTAGATAGGTGATGGCGATCGGACAACATGAACTATATGCTGCATTGGGAATGATGGGCGGTGATCACCTAGTTTAATTTAGTATACATAGTATTAGTGGTGTAGCTACTTTGAAAGTGTATCAAACTATTATTATTACTATTATTATTAATGAAAGATAAGTACTGTTTTTCCGCTGCAAAACTCTGTTAAGCCTTACGTAATCACGTGGCGGTAATACTCCCATGTTACTCTCTAAACTTGAATTATTATGGTTAATATTAGAGAGTAATTTGGGGGTGTTACAACTTCCATAAGACCAGTGTTGCTTTATAGTACTGCTTTATAGTACTGAAGGAGTGAACTAGTGAAGGTTACTCAAATGTGCATGTTAAGATGGATGTGTAGGAGCACTCTAAGAGATAGAATCAAAAGAAGAAAAAACATTATTTGCAAGAAAGTGGGTGTAGCAGGCATTTTTGACAAAATAAGGGAAAATTGCCTTCATTGGTTCAGAGAGTAAGACAAAGGCCCAAGGGTGCACTGGTACAAAGAGTGGAAGAGTGGGATCATGGAGTGCTTAAACGACGTAAAGGGAGACCGAAAATGACTTGGTTGGAAGGAGTTAGGAAGGATATGAATCAAATGGATTTGCATGAGAATGATGTGTTTGAACGTAAGGGATGAAAGAGGAAGATTTTTGTTGATGAATATACTAAATAATCACTTTTGGTTCAATAGAATACTGATGGTTCATCCTAAGTACCAAGCACAACACAACCTACAGGAATTTCATTGAATATTAGTTTAGGCAGATTGAAAACTTCCCACTTTCTGCTATAGGTTTACAGCAGCCAAACTCGCTGCCGTAAACCATTTATAGATATGCTATAGCAACAGCTCTATCACTTACTGTAAAAGATATATTTTTCTATAGTAGTTTCAAATACTGATGTAAAAATCAGAACCTTTTAGTAGCGCTACATAACTACAGCAACTATGGAACTGCTATTTACGATGATTTCTGTAGTAGTGACCATAAGGGACAACGGATAACAAATCCAATTCAACTCTCCATCGGTAGAATTGAAGGTTTAAGTAATGATAATAATGAAATATTAGTCTAATACCTGCCCTGTGTTCCTGCTGATAGTTGCATGCTCCTTTAGCAGAGATTGCTCCACTGAATTTCCTCCTTCTTCTAAGTCTAGCCTGCTACGATCAAATTCCCTGAAGTCTTGTAGCAGTGAAGCGTGTTCTTGCTTAGCTCTAAGGCTGGACCGAAGCCGATAAAACTCCTGCACTTCAACCATGTCAAACATTAGGTTAGATCTCAACAATCAACCAGGCATCAAGCTACTACAAATAACGCAACAGTTACTCAGGATGAAGAAAAAGATTAAGCATTACTGCAAAGTGAGTAAACAGAAGAAATCATTACTGCTTGTGCAATAGTTTGAAATCATTAACAATACAGATTAGAATCACTAAACTTAATGATATACAGCATGGAATCAAATTCAGCATCTCTAGTACCCATCATCCATGTAAACGTAACATCTGTCTCTACAGAATAATGTTCTTTTCAATATTAGTAACTTTACAGAATAAATTGTGAAAACATCTGAAATGTGCCCTCCAAACTCCCTCGACAGCGTATACATTTCAAAATAATATTACTCACTTCTTTTTCAGATACAAAAGGATGTATGAGCTCATAATTCTAACCAGGAGCTAGTCCCTAGATCGTTGTGCAAGGTACAAAGCATTCAATCATTATTCACCTTAGACAAGGATAATTTTAGGCATTGAGCCCAATAATTTAGCTTCTTCAATTGAAGTAACAACCTTCAATATGGTCTTAAGAATTGATTAAGCAAGAAAAACTGCCATGATTTACAGAATAAGTAGGTTTCTCTAAGTTGAGAATTAACGTGTACACAGACATATATATATACGACCCCACTTATGGGATTAAGGCTTTGATTGATTGATTGGCAGAAATATATCTAAAGAATACAAATTTGCCCCTAAATGTTACTATCTTCTTTGTTCCCCAAACCTTTACATTTGACATTTATAAAAAAAAAATAATAGGAACAACACAAAACACACATAGAGTAATGAAAATTTGAACACTCTCATCAAGTCTCTGAAGAGATGAAATGAATATGCAACATAACACACCTGAGTTAAATCTTGAAGGATCTCTTGGTGTCTGGTTAAGGTGTGAGAAACCATCTCGGAGCCTCCAGATGACACCCATGCTCGCATCTGATTGTTAACAAGATCAAGTTGCTTTAATAGTTGTTCTATTCCAGACTCAAGATTGTTATCTGTTGTTTCAACTTTTGTAGCAACCAGTTTGCGGTATGAATTCATCTGCTCATCCAGCTGCGCTTCAAGTTTCCGAGCCTAAATTGTGGAAGTATGACATATCAAGTATTAAGAATAACTGAATTATGCAACACCCCCTTGGGAATGAAGGAGACAATCAGGAAAAGAACATTGGATTATGTAATGAATGAATGTCATTTTAATTAGCATAAACAAAAGGAATTGTAAGTTGGAAATTCTACAGCTTCAAGTATCAATTAGCAATCCAAAAACGAATTGACATGATTTGATCAAGAATCATCCTTCAACCATAACTTACATTAAATCTGATTCCCAACAACAATCAGTGATTAATTCCTAACCCTAAAACATGTCAATTGGTATAACCCTAGCAGTAAAGCACCATCACAGATTCAATTTTCAACTGTAATGAATTCCCAAATTTAACTCGAAATTAGCGAACCATTAAAAAAAAAAAAGCAAACCTGTTTTCTGAGGGCGTCCCAGGAGCTAGGGACATCCATGATGGCAATCCAGATCAGGACTCAGGAGAGAAGTTGGATCGTCGGTCACTCACAAACTAAACAAGGAGAAAAGGGGTTTGTTAATTGTTTTTGGTTATTACCATCAAAATAATAACTTACGAGTATTAATTGTATTTTAATTATTCAATTTTCTTCCCACTTGTTTACGTCAAGTGCGTTTGACGCAACTGCACCCAGGCCATTCATATCACAATTCACAAAGATTAACCACTTCATTGCTATTTTTAGCTACCCGCTCATTGCCCACTTCCCATTAACCAACTCTACCATTACGGGGCGTTTGGAATGTGGGAATGGGATTGGGAAATATAACCATATTTTGTTTGGGTAGTGGATGGGAATAGATGGGGAATAATAACATAAAATACAAAATTACCCTTACTAATCTTTCTTCTCCATTTTTTTTTCAAAACTACCCTTACTATTCTTTTATTCCTAATCTCATTCCCTTCTTTAATCTCAATTCCATCTCAAACAAGAGACTTTGTTTTATTTGGGATTAAAATTCTCATTCTCACCCTCAATTCCCATTTACCAAACACCCCCTTAGAGTATTAGACATTTACTTCGTTTAACATTGCTATGATTTTCTGGTTTTTGATTTTTTGTTTTCAAAAGTATATTTATATGTCACATAATGAATCAAAAATTATTTAGACTTTTTAAAATCATGATAATTTTGAAAACTAACAACAGCAAAGCGGAAACACCTTTTTCTTGTTTCCTGTTTTTGGTTTGTAATTTTCAAAAAAACAAAAAACTAAAAACCAAAAATGATGTCAAACAAGCCCTTAAATTTAAATTAATTACTTTACTTTTTTTTTTACCTAAAGCACAGAGTATATATATTTCTTGCCACGAAAAATAATCTTTGAATTACTATAATAGGCAGTTATGGGTGGTTTGAAAAAAAAGAAGAAATGGCTTTGTTTTTTTAATTTTAAAATGTATAGAAGTGTAGTTATGGTTTTATCATTACCTTTCGAGTTGCATAATAGGTCTTGCTTCCTTAAATTGAGTTTGTTGTCACTATGCTTTCGTGATTCCGTATGTACTTATGCAATATGTAGCATCAATAGCGCACTTTCTCTTCTCTTGCTTAAGGAAAGTGTATCACTGGGGATTCTACTCTTAATAAAATAATATAAACTTTAATTCGGGAACGGGGGAATTCTCCATTTAGAAAGGAGGCTGGAAGAATGGGAGGACCTAAGCCGATAATTTTAAAAACTGTTGGTCAAATATTGAATGAAGGCGAATTCCTCGCCGGAAGGTGGGGGGGACGAGATCCTGGGCGGGGGATCCCCCCATCATGATGGACTAATTGTTGGAAGGACTTCATTCAATATTCAAGAGTCAACTTACTTTCTTTCAGCTTTCCCCCGTGTGGATATCGAGCGTAGCAAATGTTTTGACTCAAGTTAGTCAACATTTATTTTCAAATCAACAGCCACAATATTTATTTTTTTAAAAAAATCTTCTTCTCTCTCCTCTTTTCTCAAGTTTGCCACCCAAACCCATCCACTACATTCTTTTTCATGAGCGCTTCCTCTTTTCATCTTCTCTCTCCTCTTTCTCATTCCTCTTTTCATTTTCTCCAATTAGGCAATCAGCCCACCCAAACAAAGCTATTTGGTGCAGCAGTAGTACCAGTAGAGGAAGCTCCTCGTACTACGTCGCCATAAAATAAGCTAGAGGTTTTCTAGATCTAGAGTTTTCATGGTCGAATTTGGCATTTTTAACCATATTCGACACAAAATTTTTAAGGTAATTGTTCATTTAATTAATTTTTTTTTACGATTTTTAATTTATTTTTTTTCGGTTGGATCTAGAGTTTGGGTGTGGTTTTGGTGTGGTTTGGGTGTTTTCGTGGTGTGGGTCTGGTTGGATGTGGTTTAGGTGTGGTTTGGTTGTGGGTTCGATGAATTTTGGTGGTGGCGTGGTTGTTGGTGGTGTGGGGCAGTGGGTACGACAGTTGGTGGTGGCGTGAATATGGGAGTGAATGTGCAGCAAGTGGTGTAGGTTGGTTGGGGGTTACTAGGTTAGAGAGGTTATTTGGTCCAAGGTTACTAAGTTGGTCAGAGGTTACTTGGTCGGTCAGACCGGGTTACTAGGGGTTACTAGGTCGTGGGTTACTAGGTCGGTTAGGGTTACTAGGGGAAGGGTTATTAGGGGAAGGGTTACTAGGTCGGTCAGGGGTTACTAGGCCAGTGAGGGGTTACTTGGTCAAGGGTCACTAAGTAAGTCAGGGGTTATTTGTCTGGGGGGTTACTTGAGGGGTTACTTAAGTGGGGTTTCTAGAGGGGTTACTTAAGTGGGGTTACTAGAGGGATTACTGATGTGACACATTGCCGCACCGTGTGGATGCATATAAAAGTCAAACTATTACAACTATTTATAAAAAAAAAATTTAAAAATAATAAAAATAAAAAAGATAGATAGATAAACTCTCTCTTGATCTCTCCTGTCACATGAGGCCATTTTTTTTTATTCTCCCATCTTCCAAAAATGTCTGGAATTTCGCAATTTGCAAGTTATGCACCTAAAATATTACGGAGGAAGTAATACATGTAATCATGTGGTAAGATACTGAATAATTTATACACGATTTTTTTTCCTTATTTGTGAAGTACAAACATTGGCCAAGTTTTACGTACCATATCTATTTACTAATATTTAAAATAAAAAATTGTCATTATGCAGATTGTCTTTGCCGATGAAATTATGTTTTTATTTGATCCAATTGTCTATACTCTATATATAATACTCTCGGTTTGCCAAATTAAGTTTGGTTTGCACAAGCCTTGATGGCTTATGAGTTGTGACTTGTACATAAGCAGAGGTAGTTCAACATATACTTGTATTTGTAATTGATCAGGAAAAGTAAATAAGTAAAGTTATTCTCCTTGCCACCCCATTTTATGTGCTCGTTGTTGCCACAAGAGTGCAAGTTTCATCTCTCGAAGTATGAGTGCCTCAGCATTTTCTCGAGCTTGTTCGCATGTTTCGGTAGCAATGGTGCATTTTTCAGCTTCTCGTTGATATTGAGAAGCCACTCTTCGTGCCTCTCGGTATGTTGCATTCATATGACGAATATGCTCTTGCGCAACAACTTCTTGCAACTTCAGCTCCTCCATTAGAAGCTCTGCATACTGCTTTTCCATCTCTTGTTGGAGCTCCGGATCACTTTTACCACAATCTACTCATTTTCACCACACGTATATATATACTCATCAATTTTTTTTTTTTTATAAACTAAAGTATGTAATACCGATTATACATAAAAAGAACTTCATACTATACTCACGAACATTAATAGTGATTTTTTAATCGGGGTAATACAATGTGAGATTTGAAAGTGTATACATACTAAATCGATCTAAATGATTAACAATATTTATAAATTTCTCGAAACTCAAGACTAATAAACAAAATTTAACAGCAAATATTGATTTTTTTCAAGAAGAAGAATGAAGAGGTTGTATTACCTTCGGTTGAAAGGTTGGCCAAGCCTACACATTAAACCAAAAAAGTATATTAAAAAAAAATAAATCAAAATGAATAATGTGGTTGAGTTGAGAATTGAGATAGTATAACACCTAATTCACTATTCTTACAAGAAATACAGTACAATCTCAACATTAATAGTGAACACCCAATTCATTATTATATTCATACAAGAAATACAATCTCAACATAATTAATCAAAAAGATCAAAAATAATAAGAAGAAGAAGAAAAAATACATTTTGAATTTCAGCAAATGATAATAATAAGCAAACAATATTAAGATGACATATATAATTTGGATGATCGAATCTGAACAAGATTGACATTGAGATCTAAACAAGAAAAAAGTACGTGGTGATGAGTATAATAATTAAAGAGAAAGAGATAATACCAGGAACAATTTTAAGAATGGATAAAGGAGGTGGACAGTCACATATACAAGGAGGACAATTAGAAGATGTATGATGTCCCAATTTGGTACCCTTGTTTACCTTCCAATATAAAGCTGGACCAAATATTGAAACTGTTAATGCAATTCCAATTCCCATTAAACAACTTCTTACACAATTATTTCCCGATTGTCGTGAACCACTTGACATCATCATACCTATACTTTGATCTTATAACACTTTCACTTTTCTCTTCACTTTTTAGATTACTTTGATCTTCAAATAAATTAGAATGCAAGGGGTATTCATTTCACATATTAGCTATTTGCAATTTTTTTTAAAAAAAATAAATAATTAATTAATTAATTACTGTATAATTTTTGCAAGGGGTAACTGCCAAATTTAGTTAGTAATTGCCTAAAGTTGAGGAAGCAAAGTGAGACGAAGCGGAGGTGGTTATAATAATATACTTGGTATGACTTTCTACATCTTTTAATGTCATCTTTATTCAACATATCTAGTCCATAGGATATAGTTGAGGCAACAGCCAAAGCCGACGTAATTGAAGTGCTCTTTATTTCAAGTTAGTCAGAAGACTTAAAACCGTGTTCAAACGCGGTAGCACAGTAAAGAATATACGGTCAGACAATAAAAGACTTCTCTTATTTTATTGCTTACTTATAAAAGCAGCGTCTGCATATTAAATCTCTTTAAATTGAAATTGTATTGCTTCTTGTCAATGTTGTGGGCAGTAGCAACACTAATAGTAGCATTGTCTACTGTTCCTACAAGAAGCATGCCAATAGCAAAGCATGGGTGTCAAGAAAGCTGTCAAAATTCATCCATTATGATACCTTTTCCATTTGGCATAGGTACTGATTGTTACTACGATCCGTGGTACGAAATTGTTTGCAATTCATCATCTTCTTCTTCAGAAACACCGATTCTGAGTTCATTTGGCGTGGAAGTATTGAACATAACAAGTTGTTCAACTGGTAACTGTGGTATCTCTGATCTAAGAATACAAGTTGCAACTCAATGGCAGACCATATGCACTTCACAAAAACAAGTCATAAATGACATGGATAGAAGCCCTTTTAGGATGTCAACTTCAGGAAATCATGTAGTGGTTAAGGGTTGTCCAGGGGTTGCCATTTTGATGAACCGAAAGGGCAAAACAGTTGCTGGGTGTTCTTCGGTGTGCAAGGGGAGTACCAACACTGCTGAAGAAAGAGCGAGCAGTGGTGGTACTTGTGATGGACTCGGGTGTTGCTTGATATCAGCTGATCAACAATACTTGGGGGTTGATTTTTATCAGATGGCTTTGAGAAGTAATTATGTTGACACGAATCATACTTGTGTAGAGTTCGCGTTAATGGAGAATAAAATATCTGCTACTGAAAGAATGGCAAGAGATGATCTACTCCCGACTCTATGGCAGTGGATGCCTCCAGCATTACCTCAAGGAACGTCTGACAGTAACCATCAAAAGGATAGTGATTTCTCTTGTAAAGCCTTTTGTGGTTCTTATGATGAAGTTCAATGTGTTAATATCTGTACTTGCAATGATGGTTTTCAAGGAAATCCATATATTTCTAACGGTTGTCAAGGTAATCAATCTCTTTTTTAACTGATTAATATAACTGCACTTTTCCTAGCTTCCTGCATTATTTGAAATACATACTGTCGCACCAATTATATTTTTTCCTTTGATTGATTTCACTTGTATGAAGATCCATGCAAAGAGGGTACGAACCATACATCCGTCAACTGTAAAAAGAGGTCCTTGATAACTTCAGCACCAATTCTAGGTAAGTACAGTACACCATGAGGCATGAGACATATATAGTTACTTTTCGGTACTTGTTCAAATATATATCTTTCAATAGCAGCTAAAAGATTAATATTCGTATGTGTGCAGGGCTTAACATAGTTTTGGGGTCAGTAATGTTGCTTCTTCTTTGTTATGGGCTGTACCGCTTAGTGAAAAGATGGAGACAAACCAAGCAAAGAACTAGATTCTTTAAAAGAAATGGTGGTTTACTGTTACAACAGCAGATGATCTCTAAAGGGGGTTTTGTAGAGAGTACAAGAGTGTTTACAGTCCGCGAATTAGAGAAAGCAACAGACAATTTCAACACAAACAGAATTCTTGGCCACGGAGGTCAGGGTACTGTCTATAAAGGCATGTTACTTGATGGAAGAGTGGTGGCCATCAAGAAGCCTAACAAAAAGGTAGATAAGAATCAGTCAGAACATTTTATTAATGAGGTGGTTATTCTATCCCAAATCAACCATAGAAATGTTGTTAAACTACTAGGATGTTGCTTAGAGACACAAGTTCCATTGCTCGTGTATGAGTTCGTACCAAACGGAACACTTGCTAAGCATATCCACAACCCTAGTGAAGACTTCCAAATAACCTGGAAGATGAGGCTGCAAATAGCTGCAGAAATAGCTGGAGCTCTTGCCTACTTGCATTCATCATCCTCTACGCCTATCTATCATAGAGATATTAAGTCCACAAATATACTGTTGGATGACAAATACCGAGCAAAATTATCAGATTTCGGTACTTCAAGGAGCATGATGGTTGATCAAACTCACTTGACAACTCGTGTGCAGGGGACGTTTGGCTATATGGATCCAGAGTACTTCCAATCAAACCAATATACAGAAAAGAGTGATGTGTATAGTTTTGGAGTAGTGGTGGCGGAGATTTTAACAGGCATGGCGTCAGTCTCTAAGGATAAATCCGGGGAATGGAAAGGGTTGGCAAATGAGTTCCTATATCATTTTGAAAACGACGACTTACACGAAATTCTAGATGTTCAAGTGACAGACGAAGCAAAGGAAGAAGAGTTAAAAGTAGTGGTGAATCTGGCAAAGCGATGCATGAATTTGAGCGGGAAGCAAAGGCCAACAATGAGAGAAGTAGCATGTATACTAGAAGGAATGAGATCACCATTTTCTGCGGATGCACTACTAGATCAAGTAACATTAAAGGGAGGTAGAGTTGATAATGATGTGATCATGGAAATGGGGAAGATGAATGATGCAAGTTCAACCACATACTATTATTCTTATTCTTATTCAGCCATGAATAATAACAAAGTTATAAGTAGTTGTTATGAGATCCAACCGGTCATGCACAACTCTGTATAAAATGCAGAGACATAGCCTACTAAATTTAAAGATTAATACTAATATAAGCACATCTAGTGCGTACATACACATACAAATTTGAGTAGTTGCAATTTTAATTTAATTTTTTTTTATTATGAGGTAAACATACAAATTTGAGTATTTGCTATTTTAATTTTTTTTTTTTTTATTCTGAGGTAAATAATCAATCGTACAAGCACAAAAGTAAATGAAATAATTCAACATTATCATTTATTAAATGAAATAAATTATATATGATCGATAGTCAAGGTGGGTGTGCTCAAAGCATGTCAAATAAAGAGGCTTGCAATTGTATCAAAGTGCTCAATGATGCCCAAGTAGCAGCAGAGCAGTTAGTAGTCAATGAGGCGTTGCTAAGATGAAGCCCTAATGATATATCGTGTCACTGTCATGTTCCATGAATAATGTAGTAGTTTAGAAGAGCATGAAGCATTATCCTAAGTGCACAGTCAAAGTGCGATGCTAAGCACCAGTGCAGCATTCCCTTTGCTCACTGTGATTTCGAGGTTTCAGCTTTTGTGTTTCTACTAATTTCTCTATTCTTTTTTTTTTAGCATGTAGATTGAATTTTCAAATAAATAGGTTTTGCTTCATACAAACTAATGGCAAATAGTTGCTTCCTCCCGAGAACAAGATAAGGCAGCAGGTTTATTACAACATTGATAGAGAACTAGATTAATTATTCTCAACCTTGAACATCAGACTAGTAAAGACAACAGCAGCAGGAAAGATGATGAGAAAGAACATACAGGTTTTCAAGGTTTCAAGGGACTATTGTCATGCTGATTTTTCCTTTTAAAAATTGGTAGAAATGCAGCAACCCCTCCCAGTCTCCCACTCTGTATCCCTAAGCTAAACTCTAGCTCCCACCCAAATGCCCCAACTCCAGGATAATTATGTGCAAGTCTCAAGGAAAACTAAGTAGCAAAGGATTCCAGTATAAATTTGAATAACAACTTGAGCAAATGATTAATATCATCATAAATCCACTGGACATGACAGAGTTAAACAGAATAACTACGTAGTATAAGTGACAAAAGATGAACATCATCCACCTCCCACAAATGTTCTAATTCTTGAAATCAATATATTACCACTTTGTCTTTTACAAGAATCTAAAATGCTGCCTGACATACATATGCGTACATGAATGCTTCATTGAACATATAACAAAGAGGAAAATCAAATGAATCAGATGGTTTCTAGGACTAATACAATGGAAAAAAGAGAGGAGAGTTACAAGTCTGAACTTGGCATTCTTACATGAAGCAGGGATCACTCCTTCATTTGTTTTATAGAGCAAACCATCTTTAGACCATTGTATTAGTCCTAGAAATGGAGAGGAGGCTCACATTGGGGATCTCTGCACAAATTCGCACTAAAGTTGCAATGCACTTCTGTTTTGGAGCTCAAATCTGAGAGGCAAAGCATTATTGTGAACCTTGCAAAGGAAGACTTACCAGTTCTGCTGATCAGGATCTTCCAGGTCCTATTTCATTGGTAGTTTACCCTCCCAGTAAGCTCAAAAGTCCCAATGCAAAATCGTTGGCAAAAAACCTCTCATCCATTTTCCAGTGGTCTAGGTAGTGCCTTGGCTTGTTAAATCCTGCACAAAGTTGATCTAAGGTAGCCCTGTTAACAAACATAAGTGGTTTTCCATCCTCATCCACCCAAGAACCCATAGAAGCTACCCACCCACTCTAGTTAGACTGAATAATGACCAACAGAAGCAACATTTTAAGCTGGGCCTGCTGATCAGACTAGCCAGGTGCCCACTATTGTTAGACCGGAAAGAAGGCCTTGATAGATGTTCAAACATCTTTCTTTGTCAAAAACTATAAAGAAGGATCATAAGAACAGATGTAGCAGGAAATTTCAAGCGTCATCCAATAAATGCTGGAATCAGCACTATCAGAGAACATCACCAGTCGATTAAGTATCTACATTTAAAACAAGGCAGTGTGAAATTCACATTAAGATTCTCAGCTACCTCTATTTTCCCATCACAAGCAGATAAGGAATTGTAAAGCGTAAAACACACAGAGAAAGAAAGTGCAGTCGGTAGGAGGAGGAGAGAGGAGGGGGGGGGGGGAGGGGAGAAGAAATATATATATATGATCGGCAGGGCACAGGTATGACAAAACTCTATAAATCAAAAATTGATTATAAAACTGATTTTACCAAAAGTGCACACAAAATGGGTACATGGAAATTGAACATTAAGTTTGATAGTTCTCCTGATTAGTGAACACTTTGACCATTATCAAAACCTAGTCCATACAAAATACCAGCATATTTCTCCATGGATCCACTGAAGAAATTGTCCTTCAACTTCCTGAATGTACAAGATGTAAGCAAACTATCAGAACCTGCCTGGTGACACACACCAACCCTTTCGACCTCCAACAACTCGGCGAGCTTGTTCAAGCCACCGTGTAAGCTGTTACAAAACTTCATGAGGTGCTTAATATCATAAACGGTAGGGAAATAGGTCTTGATCATCTCAAAGAACTCCTGCTGGGTGTCAGGGAGGTTGCGACAAGTGAGGAGCTTAAGCAAGTAACCAAAATCATAACCACTATGGAAAGTGACCCAATGAACATTATAGTTCAAAACAACACCAGACGACATCAAAAGCTCACCAAACCTCTTGGCATCAATACCCTTGTCATTATTTTTCTTAAAATCGATGCCACTCTGACAGAGAAGCTCAATAGAATCATTGGCAAAAACATCCTCATTAAGGTTAAATTCGCGGAAATTGAATTGCCAAATGCAAAATTTATCAGTGCCACAAGTGGGAAGGTTACCAAGTTCATCAGAAAAGGTGAGGCCTAATTGAATCAATTTCAACATGTCGACATTATCCTTGAGAGTACGGTAGTGAAAATCAGAGCTACTCTTAAAAGTACCGACAGGTCGAAGAACAATACCTGGAAACTCGGTATCCATAGCTACAAAAGGGTAATCGTCTACTATATCACGAATTAAACCAAATTCAGCCTCCAGATTATCTTCCCAAACCTCTCTAATGTGAATTGAATCACTATTTGGAAGAAGCGACATTTCATCCACGAATGTTTTAACAGATAACAACACCGATTAGAGAAATCCCCGAATTTATAGCCTTCTCCGAATTGAAATCCTCCTGATAAAATCTGCCAAAACGACAAAAGAATTAGTAAACAAAACCAAAATCAAAACGTTCCGTAAATGAAAGGCGGATATAGAGAACCTCAAAGAAGGATCTAGAGAGAGAAATAGATTAGGGTTTCAAAATGTGGTCTAAAAAGATAACAACTTTATCAATTACTCTAGGAATTAGGAATTTGATGAAAATTCCAGAAATTGAGACCCACAGGACAAAGACAGAGACAGAGACAGAGGAAAGAGGAGAGAGAAAAAGAGAGGACAAAGGGCCCTCCCCTGTAAACAACTGCAAACCTCCAACTCCCAACTCCAACAGATGCCACACCAAACAAATACACTTCTTTTAAGTTTTAACTCTTAACCTTCATCTTGTTTTTTTTTTTTTTTTTTTTTTTTTTATAAGTTTTAAATCCATAATGTATAATTTCTAGTTACTATTTGGAGAGTTAAAATTTCTTCTTATTTCTAATTTAAGATATACTCCCTCCATTTTTAAATACTTCACTTTTTTTTCGGTTGTTTATAAATACTTGTTTCATTTCTTTGTTTGGTAAGCTTTTACAATACTTGCTCCACTTTTTTTTTTTCGGCTAGAGCTTTCCTCCCTACACTACGTGATCTTGGACTAGTGGTTGCCAAAATTTGATAACGTTTCAAAAAAAAAAATGCGCTTACTTGCTTACACATAAGATCAAATAGTCATATGAATTTGAATTGTCTCAACATACAGTTTATGAATACTTATAATGTATGCTTTTGCATCATGCATGTGTCAACAAATTTGTATGTAATATTTGTTAAACGGCTCTCTGATCCAAAATACTATAATTTCGTACAATTAATTTGAGTTCACCAAAAATTATTTCATTACATTTTTCTTTACAAAATAAGATTTAAGCAATAAAAATTATTTTAATTTAGTATAAATAATTAAATAATTTTAATTATGTAAAAATAATTTTAGTTCAACAAAAATAAGATTAAGATGTTAAAACCTAAATATATAATTTGGAAAATACTAATTCGTATATAGACCATGTGCTAATCTTTTATTTAGCATAAGTGTTCACAAAGATATGTAGTAAACTAGGTTAGACCCCGTGTCATGCACGGTTTTTCACTTTTTTTTACGAAGTATTAATTTATAAATATATTTAAATATAAAAAATAATTTGGTCCAAAATTAATTTCTTATATCATCCTAATTCAAACAACTTTATATATATATATATATATATATATATATATATATATATATATATATATATATATATATATCTTTTATGACTGCATATTATATTTTTTATTCAAACTTTCTTCTATTTTGAGCCTTTGTGGCTATATTCATGATTTTTTTTACTATAATAATCTTTATACATTAAAAAGTAATTACTTATATAATAACTTATATATAAAGATATGGTTAGATATTTAAATTGTTAAATATATTATTTTAGGATTATTTTTTCCTAGTTTTTGAAATAAAATATTTTGCGTATATTCTTTATCAATTTTTAATTTTTTATTTTCAAAAATATACTAAGGACACACCATAAAATGACACGTGTCATTGCTGGTGTGTCTTCTAGTATATACTAGATTAATCACATGCGTTGCACGGTTTAAATAGATTTTATTTGTTTAAATAGTTGTTAATATTCTTTAGCAAAATTTAAGATTATAAATCCGAACTTTGCGCGGTCTGAAATAAAAAATCCGAACTTTTGATTATTCTGTACAAATCCGAACTTTGATACCTATTTTCTTTTGGAGTATTAAAGTTCGGATTTTTACAGAATAATCAAAAGTTCGGATTTTTTATTTCAGACCGCGCAAAGTTCGGATTTATCATCTTAAACTTTCCTATTCTTTATTCAAAATAATGTTAATCATAATCTTATTTATTAATTTTGAAAGACATATTATAATTGTTTAGTTTTAGAACTTAGGAGAAAAAAATAATGATGTCAAAAATAGCTTTGGCGGGAAAAAAATTTCTTAATAAATTGATAAATGTCTTTGCATCCAAGTTATCTTCCATGTTTTTATATACTCTTTATAAATATATTTTAGTTATATCTAAATTTATTTATAGTATTTTATTGAAAGCTCTAGAAGTCCATTCTTAAACAAATTATGCGCTTTTCCAACCCATTACGATTTGCAAGGTATATCGAGTAAAGTATTAAACGGATTCAAACAGCCATGTTCATCCATTATCCCATACTAGTACTCAATGCTAAGAGAGGGGAGAGGTGGGGTTGGAGACCTTGGAGTAAATGAATGTAACTTGAGGGTAGTTTGATATATAACTACAAGGTCTACAACTACAACCTTTTCATAACACATACATCATCAACCAAAGAGCTTCAAGTATCTATCGTAGCCTTTTCTGTTATAAAAACATCAGTCTTGCTCACCTATACGTTCCACTGTTCCAGACGACACAAATAAGAGAGTGATGCTACACCAACTCAAAATTTGCTTCAGAACATCAATAGAGTGGATCCTCTGAGTAATACTAATGAGGTTAATTGGGTGAAGAAAACTAAGATGACTCTGCCTTTCCATCACTGATTGGGAGGTATACACCCTCTGCTGCAAGCCAAATATTGTCCCGGCTCTTCTCTTTGACACCACAAACCTGCACAGAATAACATGTCACAAATCACCACAATACAATAATAAAAATTTAAAAGGTGCTCAAGGCCATAGGGGGTTATACAATGTCGAATCCAAGGGCTCCAAAAGATGCAGATTAGCATTTAAGCTTTACATGATGTTTGGATAAAGAGAAATGAAAGGAAAGAAGGGAAGAGAAAGGGAGCCGGGGTGAAACTAAGTCACCGAACCGAAAACCAAACCAAATTAGAAATATGGTTCTTTTTTTCCTTAGTGGTTCAGTGCGGTTTGCAAAATCTAGAAACCAAAATATTATGGTTCGGTTTCAGTTTGAGGAATTGAAAACCCGAAAAAATAAAACCGAACAGAATTCTCGGCCCAAACCTCAAATAAACCCTAAGCCCAACTCTAGTTTTAGCCAAAGTATATAATGCAAAAAAAAAAAAAAGAAAAGAAAAATAAACACCTCTCACTCTCTCTGACTCTCAATCTCTCATAGACTCATACTCCACTCAGTTCCTCACTCCACCGGCAACCGTCCACCGACCACCATCCACCGTCCAAACTCCAAAGGTATGCTATTAAATAACTGCGATTCAATGGCAATTTCACCTATTTGCTAAGCCCAATTGTTCAATTCGCCTATTAACCTATGTATAACTGCTTTGTCTGCTTTGCTGAGTTGCTGTATTGATTTGTGTTTTTTTTTTTATGTCCTAGACCAATGGCAACCAATGTGGGAGGTGTTCCTCGCGAGCCTCAAACCGAACGCGAGACTGACCAAGTATCTCAAAATCTAAAAAAAAAGAAGAGGGAGCAAAAATTTGGTGCAGTTTGGTTTTTTTTTTTAAGAAAACCAAAATTTTAGTGGTTTAATTTGGTTTGGTTTCAAAGCCAAAATGGTGCGGTGTGGTTTGCAAAATCCAAAAACCGAAAATATTGTGATTCGGTTTCGGTTTGGGCAATAAACCAAACTAAAAACCAAACTATCATCCCTTGTTTAAATAGCATATGAAAAGAGGGAAGGGAATTAGAAGGAGTTATTTTCCTTCTCCTTGAAGTAAATCAAATCCTTCCAACATTGAAAAGATAAGGAAAGAAAATAGAAGCTCACTCTCTCCCTCCCCTAGTCCCCTTCCTTTCCTCCTCCTCCTTTATACTTCTCTTCTCTTCTCTCCATTTCCTTTCACAATTGCTATCCAAATTCCAAACATAGGGTTGATATCAGGAATTCAGGATAGAGTTTTTTCTTTTTTTCTTCCCAATATTCAGCCAGAAGTCTATGTTTCCTACGTTGTAATATTGTATAACCAAAATTCAAACCAGAATGGTGCTAACAGAATCGAATGTGACCATGATGAGTTTTTTTTTTTCTTTTTTGAAAAAAAGGGATAACCCAATTAATGCCCATCACAATACAATCTAGCATATGATGAAGTATCCAAGCATAGCTCTTCAACAGCAAACAACATCAGCATCAGAAAAGGGAAAAGAAAGAAAATTATCCTTACCTCTTGCTGACCTCCAGCTATGCGCTGATATTTCTTGTCATGGCTGTGCAGATACCCTCCAGTGTCCACATGATGAAGCCTGATCTTCTGATCTTGCTTCCAGATCTTCCCTTTTCCCTCGATTTCAAGTCTACCAGGAAAGATCAGATAGATTAATACACAACAACAACAACAAACAACAACAACTAAAACACAGTTTTGAGACTTACTTCCAGAAATCCCCTGTATCTGACACTGAATCTCCTCCGTAGCAACTTACCTAAAGCAATCGAATAGGATTAGAAGTTAGGGTTATATCCTCATATTTGTCAATCAATAAAGGTAGTGAATGCTAGTATAGTGTAACCAATCACTATAATAGACTCTAGGGGAGTCATAAGATCTTAACAGCTAGAATGAGTAAGACGAACCACGTTTTTTTTTAAGGGCTTGGAGGACATATGTTGAGTGATACATGTACATTAAGTAGAGCATTTAGATTATGCTATAATGAGATTTACATTAATAATCTAATTTGGTTTCCAGGCAGCATAGATAAATTGCAGGTCAAATAATTTAATACCTCTAAGTTCCCTGATATAGGGGAAGCATGGAGGTGACTATGTAGCCATTTACGAGTCTTCATGTGTTGCAGGCGGATAATTGTCCCGGTTGTGATGGTGTCACCCTGCTTCGCAGACGTGTCGGGTACAGGCTTTACAACCTAGGCAAACAGCATTGACATTGATAGTTAGATGGAATGAAAAGAAAGAAATATGGAAAATGGAATGAATATGGTGGAATTACCCAGTAACTATTGGAATCGTCAACATTAGGAAAAGCAGTAACAGATTGCTGACCACTTCCGGAACCATATGGCACATCGTGTGAATGCAGCCTGAATTTAGTTCTATCATGCATCAGTTTGATCACAGAACCATATGTAACCTGCAAATGTGAAAAGCAATCTTAGTTAATTAATTAAGATCCCCAATATATGTCAAAAGCAATCTTAATTAATTAATTAATCAGAAATCGAAACCCTAAGAAGAAGGGAAAGAGACCTGAACACCCTCGGAGGCAGGAACGGCGGAGACGGAGGAGCCAAAATAGTCGGAATCAAGCGAGAGAAAGAGGAAGATGGCGAGGGCAAAGAAGGCGAAAGCCATAAGAAGCAAAAGTAGAATGAACCAGGTTTTCTGCCAAAAAGGTAAA